AGGCCACAAATCCCAGGACTTTGGAGGTGGATGCAGGAAGTTAAGAAGAAAGCTCAAAGCCAACCTCAGCTATATAACAAGTTTGAAGCCACCTCAAGCTACACAATAGAACACAATAAAACACAACAAATTCATAGTTGTTTTCCCCTAGAATACATTAAAGTAGAATTCAATGAATTAATTTCTTATTTAAGGGCGGGGGATGTAGCTCAGTGCTTGATTAGTGTACATGAAGCCCTGGGTTCTGTCCCAAGTCCATGTAATAACTGGGTGTGGTCTCCATGTCTACAGTCTCAGCGCTGGGAAAGTGGAGGCAGAAAGATCAGAAATGAAAAAATTGTCCTCAGCTACATCCTAAGTCCAAGGCTTGGACTGTGATTCCCTGACTCCAAACAGTTAAAAAGTAAACTAAGGACAAACACCGACGATAACGCTGCTAAGCATACGTGAAACACTACCCGTAAGCTCCCCGTAAGCTCCCCACATCATCTCCGAGGAACACACCTTAGACAGGTTCTTGTGTCTACAGAATGCTAACGCCTACGTTTTACTCAAACAGGAAATTTAAAAATGTCTGTGATGAATACATAATGTTGGAACTCAGTGTAATGGACAAACATCTGCTTCCAATTTCTATATTCTAAAAATGCTGCCACGAAGTATATCACACAGTTTTTAAGCTACAGGCAATCTACTCTGGAAACCATCATGACCTTTTCTCCGAGTTTCCACAGAATATTCTGGAAGAGGGAAACAAAAGAGATGACAGGGCAGGTAAGAGTGCATCTTGCTGAGTCTGGTGGCACAGACTCAGATCCCTCCACTCAGGAGGCCCAGGCAGGAGGGTCACTTGGCAATTTAATGAACCTGTGCTTCAAAATAAAACGCGGTGAAAAATGGCCTGAAGATTCGCCTTGGTGGCAGGATGCTTGCCTAGACTTTGTGAAGACCTAGCTTCAATCTTCAGTACAAAAATTAAAGAAAATTCTTTCCTTTTACAGCCTCTTGACATTAATTGGCAAATAGCTAAAATATGGCTACACTGATGGTTTGAAAGAAAATGGCCCACAAAGGGAGTGGCACTATTAGGAGAGGTGGCCTTGTTGGAGGAAGCATGTCACTGTGCAGGTGGGCTTCGAGGTCTCTTTTACTCAGGTTTCCTCAGTATGGCAGTCAGTTGATGGTGTGGGAGAATTGTCTTATTCTGGCAATCATGTTATAAATAAACGCTGATTGGCCAGTAGGAAATATAGGCGGGAAAACCAGACAGGAAGTAGAAATGATGTAATGAGAACAGGAGAATTCTGGGAAGGAGGAAGCTGATTCCTCCCACTCCTGCCCAGACCACCAAAGCAGCAGGATGTGATCTGCCCCACTGGAAAAGGTACTGAGCCCCATGGCTAACATAGATCAGAAAAATGGGTTAATCAAGATGTGAGAGTTAGCCAATGAGAGGCTAGAGCTAATGGGCCAATCAGCTTATAATTTATGGAGACCTACCTGTGATTTTCTTTGGGGCTAAACAGTTGTGGGGTACCGGGCAGGACAGAAAAACCCCAACAACAAGCAGGCCCTGCTCCATGTTACAGTTGATTTCCTGTTGCCTACAAGATGTTGCACTCTCAGCTCAAGCACACCACCTGCCTCCATGCTCCCCACCATCATGATAATGGGCTGTACCTCTGAAATGGTAAGCCAGCCCCAACTAAACTTCTTCTTGGTAAGAGTTGCCGTGGTCATGGTGTCTTGTTCTCATCAACAGAAACCCAAAGACAGCTAGTAAGGAAGTCCCCAAGTCTTTATTGATTCTAAATCCTTTATTCCATTCAGATCAGACAGGATAAACACTGAACGATCTGGATGCCAAATAAGCAGAACTGGAGCAGAGGAGTTTAATATGCGCATTTTATTAGGCTGTTTTCACCACTGAGACAGTTACCCTAGCACAGACATTTACAAGAGTAGCCAGACTTGCTACAAGGGACTGTACCAAACAGAACTTTGGAAATTGCAAAAACAAATACGCACAAGAAAACTGCAGCAGAAATTCAATTAATTTAAGTCACATTGCTGTGCTGCCTTCTGCGCTAGAATCCAATGTCAGCTCAGTCGTTCTTGGTGGTAGGACACATCTAAGTTCTCACAGCCCAGAATTCGGGACCCCATCCCGATGTTCTAACCATCCAGCGGCCAATGGGAGCTGCCACAGAACCAGCTGGTCTTTTCCCAGCTGTCAAATGCAGCAGGCAAGTCACCATTCTGCTTTATTTACCTTGCAAACATGACTTGTTATTCCTGCTTAAGCCATTCTCAGAATGAAAGCCAAGAAATTCAATGCAATGTAACAGCCCAACTCTCAGGACACTGTTTTATAGACACAAGCATGTGGGGAACCCTGGCAGTAAAGGAAAACGCAACACTTGGCTACACTTGTTAATTCTAAACTTGAACTCCGCAGGTCCCACCAGAAGCATCTTCTTACTCTCCCATTACCACGAGATTAATTTCATATCCATTCTTTAACAATTAGTAATCAAATTTTAAATAATCTCAAACCTCAACTAATTTCTGTATTTTAGATTATATGCTACTACCTCTTCAAAGTAAAAACTGAAAAGTGTTGTAATATGGGAAGGTTCATATCATGCAGTACATAGAAGCAAAATTGATCCCTCCCGAAGGATCTTTCAACCCTAAGGGGAAAAATGCCTGGATTTGAAGTAGTCAAGATACACAAAGAATTCTGACAAGTGAACAGTTGGCAGGGAACAGGGCTACATTTACTTCTGAATTGATAAGATATTTATAATTTATAATTGTAAAATATCACAATACTTTAAAGAACATTTTACCAAATAACAGGTGGTACAACACAAAAGAGAATTTTTGTACAAACCACATGTAAATGAAAGGCACACACACACACATATAACCATTACACTTTCTGTATTTTATCATTTATACCAAGCCCAGACCCACATGGCAAACTCCCAGCAAAATTCATACTTAAAAAGTATGCAAGACCAGTCCCTTTCTTTCCTCTATTGTACCATTTGCAAGAACAGGGGCATGCGTATACGTAGGATTATAATTATATTCTTTAAATTATATTTTAATATTGAGACTTAGAAAATATAGACACAAGTATTTTTTTTCCATACTGACTTGTAGTTTATTCAGGTTTGTTCTCAACAAATATGTGTTAAGAAAGTCTGCAGGAAAGGCTATAGCCCAGCACCTATGGAGACCAGCACTTTCTACCCTTTATCAGGATGATTGGATCAGGGTTTTCAGTTTCTTCCAGGTAAAACTAGGCCTGGGAGCACATGCTTCTAATCTCAGCACTCAGGGGTTTAAGACAAGTCTTTCCAAAAATAAATACATATAGATACAAATACACACACACACACACACACACACACACACACACACACACACACACCAAACCTCACCACCAGCACCAAAAATCTTTTCCAGAAGAAACAGGATCAAGTGCACCAAGGCCATTATCCACAGACTCCTCCTTATCAAATCTAAATTTACCTCAATCTATCAATGACCCTCAAGTCTCTGAATTCCACCAGTTTACTCTAAACCCTGGTTTCAAAGTTAAAAAAAAAAGGGGGGGGAGAGGGTATGGGGTGTGGGGGAGGAGCAGCAGTAATGCAAAGAACTCAGAGAAGAAATGGAGCCCACACACCAGGACGCCACACACTAGAATGCCACACACCAGGACGCCACACACCGGGACGCCACACACTAGAATGCCACACACCGGGACGCCACACACCGGGACGCCACACACTAGAATGCCACACACCAGGACGCCACACACCGGGACGCCACACATCAGAATGCCACACACCAGGATGCTACACACAGAATGCCACACACCAGGACGCCACACACCGGGACGCCACCCATCAGAATGCCACACACCAGGACGCTACACACCAGAACGCTGCACACCAGAACGCTGCACATCAGAACGTTGCACACCAGAACGCTGCACACCAGAACGCTGCACATCAGAATGCTACACACAGAATGCTGTCATTTTTATGCGCGCATTAGCTTACAAGTTCTCAATGCTCTTAAAAGTTGTTTCCATAATTCTGTCCCAACACCTGACTCAACAAGAAAGTGTCTCAGCTCCGCTAGTCTCCCCTGCACCTCTTCATTTTAGACAGTGAACACAGACTCTGCTCCTTCTTGTAGGTTTTGTTTGTCTCCTGAGCCGGGGTCTTGTTATACAACGCATAGCAAATCCAGGATTCCTCTGCCACAGTCTCCTACGTGTTGGAACGGCACATGTAAGCTAACATGCCTGGCAAATGTTTTCCTCCTTCTGACTAACATCCATGAAAAGACCTTAAATTCTTTTTTGAGCCTGTTCTAAATAGGGTAGGCAGGTAAAATAAAAATATATTTTTTTTCCATTTCCCAAAAACAAGAAGATGAAAAAATTTATTTTGGGACATTCTTTCTACTAGGTATTTAAAACAAAAATTAAAGGAGGAAAGCACGCCAGACTTGAAAACATATATATTTCATTATTTTTTCTCTTGTTTCTGCCTCAAAATTCCATGTCACCCTTAACATTACCTAATCTTTTCATATCCCATAATTTTATATTCAAATTACCACACAATATGGTTGCTTCTGTTCTTTGGTTATCCACATCAGTTATGCATAATACAATGTATCTTATAGCCATTTGTTGTTGATATTTTGGTTTGGGAGACAAGCTGTGGCTCAGGCTTCCCTGGAACTTGCTATACAGCCCCAGGCTGATCTCAGTCACCATCCTCCTTCTCTTACCTCCTCCCCCCAAGTCCTGAGATTATAGGTGAAGGCCACCACATCTGGCCCCATATATATTTTTAATCCAAGTGGTTATCTAATAATAACCACTGATTGTTTACTACAGAAAACCACTCAATCTGCTGAGTATCCTTCGGGATAAATATATCAATAATTTAAAGCTAACTCATAAAGGCTCCATAAATCTGTTCCCTTTAATGTTATATTACTTCAAAATATTTACACACGCACCACACATATACCAAGTTTACACAGTTTGTGAAAATAAACTATGGATTAATTCCAAATACACATTTAGGGATTCACAGTTTAACAGCAAATTTATATGCAGGTAAAAAGGAGTGTAGGTTTACATTCCTAATTTACCTAGCAAATTGACATGTTGAATACACTTTCTAAAAGATTTATTCTTCCTCATAAATCTCAGAAATGAGGAAAATGGAGACATAAACTTCAAGCTATGTCTACAGCAGTGTGAGTCATTGTAACATTATCTTTACTAACAAATGACCCAATTAGCTTACTTTGTGCGGAAAAAGTGATACAAACATACTGTTTACAAAACACACAACAACAAACTTACATACACCATCACCAAACAGAAACACTGTCTGTGTTTCCCTGTACATGTTTTGATCAAGGAGTCTGTACATTTTCCTTGGGACATTAAGGAACAGTTGGAGCTATATAGCACATTCAACTGCAGAAAAATGGGAGTGGATGGGGAAGGGGCTAAAAAGAGTTCAAATACACAAGAGGGCTATTTACAAATCCGGATACACTTCAGTCCTGCCTTTTGTCTGAAGAAGTTTGCAGGGTTAAGCTTACTAATAAATGGTCCAGAGTACAAGATACAGTAACAGAAAAGTTTTTCATTTTGACTCCTTGGAACATTTATTAAAAAAATAACACTTGTGGGTATTCCTCCCTTAGAATTTCTGCATCTCCTGGGAGTACTTTTCTTTAGTAAATCTATGCTTGTTTGTCTCTAAAACATTCAAAAAGAAAACAAACAAACAAACAAAAAAGACACTTGTAAGTGGGAGCATCCTGGAGTCCCAGGTACCCAGGAAACTGAAGTAGGAAGACTGAACCAAGGAGTGCAGGGCCAAACAGTGAGAACTGTTTTAAACAGGGAGAAAGAAAAGAGAAACATTGAAGATAACACACTGACTAGCTGTCAAAATTCAGAAAAATCTGTCCAACTGAATAAAGAACGAACTCATTAAAAAGAAACCAGATCTGCTTGGTAATCTTAAAGATTTGAAAGCCCCAGACTCACTCTCTAGCATCACAAAACAAAGCACATAGATTTACCATTCATCAAGTGTACCAAATCACTTCCTCTCCCACTCAGCGCGGAGACTCACAATGGCTTCACAGCTTTGTCATGGTGCTTATGCTGAGCATGTACAGTTGCACATAGTGATGAGGGTTTATGGTGCCCATGGCTGGTAAGCTTACACTGCATTAGGATCTATCAGTTCACAGGGACACACAGGGACAGGTGGCCTTCTGGGTATTACCAGTTTCTTGCTATGCCCGCTGACACCTGCAGCAGAGGAACCCTGAGTCCAGGCTGGCAATCAGGCCCATCTCCCGCTGGAGGCAAAGCTTCTGCTGAACGAGAAGTTTATCTCAGAGTTCTTGTATTTTCCCCAGGCACCAAAGGGCACCACGATTGCAGTGCTGTTGTCTTCGGTACCATACTGTAGAGCCTGCAGGAGCCGGGAGAAAGAGAAAAGCCAAGAGCTGCAGTCGTTGGACTTCTGTGCAAACAGACAGCATCCTTTCTCCACAAAGCCAACTGGTTCTACACAGTTAATAAATGCAATTATCTAACACAGTTTGTGACTGCCTCAACCCTGTATCTATGTTCCACTATGGTTATTAACTGCACATGAATAATAGATTATCCAACTATTTCCCATCCTCCACTGTAGCAATCTTGGCAACTGAAACAGCTTTAAGCTGAGAAACACTGCTGAGTGGCTCCCAAATAGGACACACCCAAGACCCTTAGCATGGTGGCAATCATGGAAAAGCCTTAATAAGTGCTAATTCTTACCAACAAAATTGCCTGTAGGAATTTAGTTGAAGAACTTAAGAGCTTTGGAGAGGAATAAAAAAGGAGAAAATATAACATGCATGTCTGAAAACAATACTAGAAACCTACCCCTTGGTATACTAACTTAAAATCTAACATCTCAGAAATGGGTATGTACAAAAACGTTTGTAGTATTCCTTCTACCACGGTTAAGTGGGCGTTAACTAAAGTGCCTGCAGCAGGACTGTAAACCACTTCTAGACGCCACTTCAAATAGTGAGTCAGTACTGTTCAGAAGGGCTTAGGGTTGCAGTTAGCATCAAACAGATCAAAAGATCTCACAGCCTGAGTTAAAAGATGTCTGGTATGAACAGCTTCAAGGAATGTAAAGGGCTTACAAACAAATCCTATGAGAAAAACATGTTTAAAATGTATCAAATATACCATTATACTTAATGTATAGTTGTTAAAGTAACCATTAAAAATGGTGATAAAATAATAGGCAGTGAGGAAAAACAAACAAGAAATATGATCTTTTAAAAGATTTACTTATTTATTTTGTATAAAGTGTTCTGCCTCTGTGTATGCCTACACACAAGAAGAGGGCAGCAGATCTCATTATGGTTGTGTGTCACCATGTGGTTGCTGGGAATTGAACTCAGGACCTCTGGAAGAGTAGCTAAGGCTCTTAATCTGGGTCATCTCTCCAGTCCTGAAATATGAATTACTAAAATCCCATCCTATAAGTCGATTCCACTAACAACAAGATGCAAAGCTAAACAGTCAGAGCTCTGTTTTTCTCAAGGCTTTGTGCCTCACTCAGTAGGAGAATGCTCACCCAGCACTCGAGAGACCCTGTGTTCAAATTCACTGTACTCAAGCTAAAACACTAGAGGCCTCTGCTGTCCTTCATCCTCTTCTCTCTGGGAATTTCCCACCAGAAGCTCCGCTACGTCACCTGTTCAGTCACTGCATGGGCTGCTTCATTAGGATCATGGCACTGGTTGACAAAGTCACAGATCTCTTGACTATTCACCATGAAGTTAATCCCATCTGTGGTGAGGACCAGGAAGCTGTCCTCCGCATGGTAGAGCTGCAATCAGAAGCAAACCGATGTGATTAAGACTAGGCTGTGCCTTCCAGTGATCCAATAGCATGGAAACTTTATTTTGCAGAGTGGCCAAGTGGGTCAGAGTTCATGGGCAAACCGAAAATGTAGCTGAGAATCAATACCACCTAGGACAAACCAAACTTTTACCTAGCAATACCAAGAAAGAGGCCAGACAGCCAAATGCCAAGAGTCTGGATTTAAATGCCGCTTGTATTATTCAGCTGACCCTTCCATCACTCGACGGTGTGAGCCTCTTTTTACTTTAACTTGTCCTGTTATCTCAATTTGTTTCTCTTCCTTTTAAAGCGAAGAAAGTTATATCTCTTTTGAACAGAGGTTGCCACAAAGCAAATACTACGTAAGTATTTTTTTTTCACAAAATGAGTTTTTTTTTTTTTTTTTTTTTTTTTTTTTTTTTTTTTTTTTTTTTTTTTTTTTGAGCCAGGGTTTCTCTGTGTAGTTCTAGCTATCATAGAACTAGCTCTGTAAACCAGGCTGGCCTCAAACTGAAAAGATGGGCCTGCTTCTGTCTCCCCAGTGTAGGGATTTAAGGCGTGCACTACCACCACCTGGAATAAGACATCTTTTTAAGGCCGGAAATCTTTCCTTGAATTCTGAACATTCATGCCCTACCATTTGTGAAAGCCTACATTATACTGTGCTGACTCAAGAGCTCTAGAGAAGCAAGCAGCAGGAGCTGTATCATGCTGGGCTCAGTTTAGAGTAAAAGAGGCGTTACACTGAGTGTTGAACTGAGTTGAGAAGGGAGGTCAAGAACGACTCCCTAGCTGAGAGAATGGCTCTGTCTGGCAGGCTTTGGAAAGGATGGCCACAGAGCCCCTCTGCCGGGGGAAAACAAAAGCCAAAGACATTACCCTCCTCAGATTGGAAACTAGCATCTCACTTAGAAAGTTTATTCTGCACACATTAGTCCCCCTTGAAAAACAGATCTCCTTCAGGTAAATCTTCCAGGACAGCCAGCAGCTGGAGCTGAGTCTCGGGTCATTCCCCATGGATGACCCAGTGTTTCTGACCCCTTCTTACCTTAATCCTCGTTGTCTCGGGCTCTGCGATTACACCACTGGGTTTAAGATCCAAATCTCCAATACTCCTCGTCATTGCAAGTCTGCCGTTTACATGGGGCTGTCCCAAGCTATTCCAAGACACAAACCCACCACATTTCTTGATCCTAGTTAGGAAAAGATAAAGTTAATGACAGTGATGATGATGACAATAATATAGAAAATTAAAGCACTGGCTTAAATATCAACTTTAAAAATTGAAATCCGGAGCCTTCTATGTCAGCCCATACCCATAATCCAAGAATTCGGGAAGGCTGAGGAGGATTTTGAGTTTAAGGTAAGCCCATGGTAAATGCCCAAACTTTTAAGTCCATAAATAAATTAGATAAAAATGAAAAACTTAGTCCACATACAGTGTACACATCCTGATAGCCCAGCACTTGAGAGGCTGAGAAAGGAGAAAACAGTTTAGGCTGCATGGTGAGCTCCAGTCTTGACAAACCCAGTCCACCCCAAACAAGAAAATCTGGCCTGAGGTAGTGGCTATGCACAGCAATGCTTGCAAAGAGGCCCTGGGGATTTATGGCAGCAGAGGGAATGCCACGTTCCATTTCTATGGCAACTGCAGCTATCACCCCATACAATGTCTGGTCATGGTGGCAGTACCTTTCTTTCTCATCCTTTCTTTCTGGGGTATGGTCAGTGGTCAGCTTCATGGGTTTTCCTTTTCTACACAAAAGAGCCCGGCTGTCTCCAACACTGGCTACCACCAGTTCAATACCATCTCGCAACAAGGCTACCGTGGCAGTAGTCCCAGAGGTCAGGAGGCTTGCTACAAATATTACAAAACAGAGTATCAGTTAGCGACAGATATGGGATTTTTACTAAGAATAAAACAGAAGCATTGTAACCTAAGGCTGGCCCGTACCGGTCTAATTTAACAAGAGCTATGTAAATGCCCTGCCAACAAACCAAGGAAGACCATGCAGAGAAACAATTATTTAATTCAGTTATAAGGCTCCATGCAAACAGAAAGATTGGCAAACTAACGTGGCGAGCAAAGCATCAGTGTCTCCAAACGGTCTGTGTGTAAAAAGCATCACAATTATGATGCCTTCGTGTGCATAGCAAGTGTCAACATAAAACATGGAGATGCCACTAATCTGGCTGCTGTGGCAGATGGCAGATCTGCTGGGCCCAGTAGGTGGGCCGCCTTTCTAAAATCATGAGTTTTGGATCATTCTCTTTCATTCCTTACTCCTGTCCAGTCAAAGCAGTACTAGTTAACTAGGGGAGGAGAGAAATGCCAAGTCCAGACCATTTGCTCTTCAAGTTCTACAGTGGGCATTTTTTCCTGCTAGAACTACAACTTATAAATGTTCACACACACACGCACACGCATGCACACAGTTAAAGAACCATACCCATTTCTGGTTTTGATCTTTGTTGGCTCTATACCTGAAGAAAAGTTATTCCCCCCCCACCTTAGATTCTACATCTGAATGGTAAAAATGAAATTCATTCCAGTTCCTCATCAACATGACATACTCAACACGATTAGCTCCAAAAGTATCCAGTGACAGAATCTGCAGCCCAAAGCAGATGAGCATGGCCAGCTGCGACTCCTGGGCAGGAATATGTCAGCAATGTACAACTTCTCTGCCATCGAGGAAAGCCCAGCGTCACTAGGCTTGAGGTTGCCGCTCTTTTTCTCCCCAAGCCTATCACCTTTGTGCGTCTTCCTTTGACTTAGTCTAACATCACCTATTCTGGTCTGTTTACCACTAATAGAATCGTTTAAGGTGCGTGAAGCCCTGTGAAGAGTAGAACGACTATGAAACTATGAACTGAAGGACAATACAGAGAAGTGGAAGAAGTTGAGAAATAACTCATTTAAAGCAGGAATTATCTCTAGTGATACTGCTAATCCTATAAAGCATTGTCAAAAGTTTAATTGGATTAGTTTTTTTTTTTTTGCAGTACGAATTCTATATCCAATCACTTGATTGTTGCGCTATGTAATATTTGTAGAAAGCTTCCTGACCATCCAAAGGCGACTTGTACGCTATAAGCTGATTTAGAAACCTATAATTGATTTAAATGACAATCAAGTCTTTCCAAGATGTTTTTTAGAGACAGCTTTTCAAACGTCACCAAATAATGCATTTTAGAAAGAGATGAATACATTTTCCAGTCATTATGTTATTATACTAAAATGCCTGCTTTAATCAGGAAAATAAATGGAAAAGCATGGATACAGTCTACTCAGTCTTTTGTAGTCATGCCAAGTTCACTGAGAAACGGCATCTACAATTGCACTGTCTTCCCATTTATCTCTTGCTTTTAGAACCATTAGATCAAAGCAATGCTATCATAGCACAGCAATGTTGAGATGTGTGTCAGCACACGACAGAAATGTTTTAACATAAGGACCAGTGATGCTTATCTTACAAGCGTTGCAACTTTCAACCTGATATTAGTCAAAGTCTATACAACAATAGACTATTTACAGTTCAGTCAATTATACGATCTACGATCTATTTTCAAATGGCTTTAGAAGAAGTCAGGCATGCATTAGATGCTACCAGCCCAGGGAATCATGAACTCTTCACGTTAGCTCTCATCAACAGCTTTTCATCACGTGATCTTTAACTGAAGACGACAAAAGAATTAGCATGTATAAATGAAATTTCAGTTTGGGCTGTAGTTCCCAGCTCTCTCACCTCTGAATTTAAAAGACCTGGGGCTTTTATCAACTCACCTTCCCAGTTTCAAAATCTCAGGATATATGGGGAAGGTTTCAAAACTAACCGTTGATTCTGGCTTGATATGCATCTAAGAATATAAATTAGTGAATCAGCACTTATTTCCATGTAACAGTTAACACAGAGGTAACAATCGTCATCGTCTGCCCTACCAACAAAACTAGGAAACTAAGACATTGTTCAGTAAGTCTTAACACTCACTGGATACTTTATACCGTACATCCTCTCACTAGCGGGACAAGGAGGAAATGGAGATGTCCCAGTAGCTTGGGTTAGGAACTGCGAGACTCTTTTCATCTGAGACAAAATTTAGCAGCTCTCTCTTTCCGCTGAAGCCCAGCAGATAGAGTCCACAGGCTCCAGGTCTAGAGTTGCTGAGGAGGCACAGTTCTCTGCCACAGACAACACGCACAGAGGCAAAGGAGAATTTCACCCAGAAATTACACTCAAACACAACAATCCTGTAACACAAAGGGGAGCAGAGAGGGAGCTGCAAAATAAGGAGGAGGGTTTCCAGTAGGGGACCTTTCCCTCGCAAATCACATCCGATAGCAGGAGATGCTACCTCAATGATTTCAACACTCAGCAGCTTCAAGTTAATAGTGTCTATTTTTCCCATCAGACTAACATTTCTCATAGTGTTGAAACTCTAAGATAGAAAAAAAGGACGCATGTATGCATCTGTACCAAAACACCAGTGCTGACACAGACAGGTATCTGCATATGTGTATTGTGATTGCACACGTGAACACACGCGCGTCTTGAAGACAGCAAATTCAATCAAATTGGGTCAGAAAACAATGCAGTGTAAATTTGAGTCATAGCAATATTAGAACTGTCCCCTAAACAAAATAATTTATATTTGATAATCAGTACATAGAAGGTGTATGTAAACTATAGTTTACACCAGCTGACGGGGGTTTCAATTTACACGGAGAGGCAATCAAAACACCCCCTATGCCAGAAACAGAACACAAGCCATTTGTTCATTGCATATAATGTAAGAATTAAGTATGGGAAGAACTGTTTCCAGTTGGAGGACTTAAATTCAATGTTTATATGAAGGCCAGTGTGGCTCTTGAATGATAAGATTTTTTTTATCATGTTTGTAACTTGATGCAATCTAAAGCAGGTGTTTCTGCTCTCTCTCTCTCTCTCTCTCTCTCTCTCTCTCTCTCTCTCTTTCTCTCTCTTTCTCTCTCTCTCTTCCCGCAGTGCTGCAGGACGATAGAAGAGAAGGAAAATGACCACAATTTAAAACAGCAACAAAAAGAGTAAAATCTAATGCCACCCCCAGTGATTATTAAGCTGTGTAAATAATAATCCTTATAAACTAATATTGCTGAAAAATCTACTTAAAATTGGTGATCTTGACGTGTATAACTTTTTTTGTCTACCATCTGTTTTGTTTTAAATGGTTATTTGTTAAAAAAATGAAGTGAGAGGGTATTTCAACTCATTGCTTGGTTTCACTAAATGTAAAAACGACTGACATAAATTGAATTTAAAATTTTGAAGGTGATGCTAAAAGGTTGGAAGGCTAGTTCAGTGGTAGAACACTTGTCTAGAGTGTATGAGGTCTGCTAAAAAATAATCCCCACTCTCTTGTCTCACAGCAAGGGCTCAGGGGAAGTGGAAGTAGGGGAGATACAAAGAAATGAGAAAAGACAGCAAGGGTAACCCTGGTCATTGAGAATGTTTGCCAGCTAGCTCTGGCTCAACACACACACACACCAAAAAGAGTACTATCTACCTTTAAAATACTTTTTAAAAACATTAAAATAGTATTTCAGCTCAATACTTCAATTAAAAAGTTAACTTTGGATAACTTTGAAACCTTATGAGAGACAGGTCTAATTTCCATTGAATCTGATCTGGAAAGACCAGCACATAGTATTCTGTCTTTAGTAACTTTATTTTGCCATCTGAGAGATATTTACAAATACATCTTTAAAATAGTTCTCAAACTCTGGTTTTTAAGAAGCACATGATAGGCACAATAGTACACAGAACACTTTCTAAACACTTTCTAACCAGCGCACTGGGTACCACCCTGTTTTAAACAGTGCACTGGGTACCATCCTGTTTTAAACAGCGCACTGGGTACCATCCTGTCTTAAACAGCGCACAGGGTACCATCCTATTTTGTTCCCTTTTAATCAGTTCTTCATTAAAAAGAATAATAAATTTTAAGACATCTTTATGAAGTTCTAAGATTATCCCAAAGGATGAAAGAGCAACTAAAGTAGCAAAATATATCTTAATTTGGTTATTAGAAATAAATGATATTTTATTTATTTAACAACTGTATTGTATGAGTCATCTAAAAAGTCTCTAGAAGATGTACAAATCAAATTCAAAGTCTCCTGAATTATGATTATTAAAAATATACATACAAGTTAAACATTATAAATTCCATCTCCTGAATTATAATTATTAAGAGTAAATGTTTTTAAATTCGACACCAAGCTTAATATTGATGGTTTTAATCACCAGCATTGATTATATCATTTTTAAAAAGCTTGATTGCACTCATGAAGGGTTAATGAATTTTAGTGTTGGCCATATGCCAATGCTCTGGGACATTGTGTTCTATGAGTCATGGGCAGTAAATACAGCTGTTTTGTAGAACAGCTGGAGCACAGTACTGACACTGCATCCCTTAAACACTGTGATGAAGCAGCCAAGTTCACAGCCACCCTAGCAATGGGTAAAAACACTCCAAGTGGATTATTCTAAAAATGCTGGGCGTGGTGGTGCATACCTTTCTCTGTGAGTCTGAGGCCAGCCTGGTCTACACGGCCAGCTCCAAACCAGCTTGGGAACCTTAATGAGACTCTGTCCCCACCCCCCAAAAAAGTAAGACCATGAGAAACTGTTTCACTTCCTCTTTATGTGTTTTACTCTTTAGGAGAACAAAAGCTAAATCTTAAGCAGAAACCACACCCTCTGTCAAGTCCCCACTAAAGGAAGGGGAGATAACTTTGGGTGCAAAAGGAAGCAGACAAAATGATTTCAAATAACTCACCAAGTGAAAACTACATGTGCAGACAAATGGAGAAAGAATGGACCATCAAGTGTACTGGGGAGTGTGATGGTCAGCATCTCACAGTAGCAGGCAGGGGCTGGAGAAGCAGCTCAGCAGCAGAGCCTGCTGGCCTAGCATGTTCCAAGGCCCTGGGTTCAACAGGGATGGTGGTGGGGAGGCTGATATTTAAATGGTATACTCAGCTATCCTAGGGCCACCCTTTCCTCCATCTTGCTATTAAATATGCTAATGAACAAGGCCCTAATCTCCACTAACCATTTCTTCTCTTTGAGTTGGAGCTCCCTGTGTGAAATGGGGAGAATCTCCATCTGGCTGAAAAAGGCATTCCTGGGGGGGCGCTTTGCTGGTTAACAGGAAAGAGAACTAAGAGCAACATTGCCCCACCATGCTGTAGCCTGTCAGCCAGGAGCACACATTACATGGCTGCTGCAGACGCTTGCAAAATTAACTTTAGTATTAATGCACTTTTGGTGAGCTAACTAGAGAATATTGGATATACTTTCCTGAAATTATTTTGATAAACTTAGTCAAAACAAAAAACATTTACTTTAAAAACTTAGCACAGTATATGAGTTTTTTTAAAAAATGCATTTGTCATTTTCTTATACTTAACAAAACCAAAAATGTCACTAGTTACCATAGGAAATCTGCAAGATGGAGAAAGAGAAGACAAATATCTCCCTTCTGACTATACAAATGGGTGCCAATCAGTCATTTTCTGTCAGACTTAGGACTTATTGCTAATATTCTTCTTTTTAAAAATATATATTCATTTATTTTGTGTGTGCATGTATGTGTTTGTTTTTTAAGTGCACACAGACATGCCATAGCTCATGTGTGAAGGTCAGAAGCGAACATATGGAAATTGCTTCTTTCCTTTCCCCATGTGGGTCTTGGGGCTAGAACTCTCAGGTGATGAAGCTTGGTGGCAGGTGCCTTTACCCACGAACCCCTCTCTCTGATCCCCTAAAGTAAATGCTGAACAATTATCAACCTTGCAGATAGGATTATCCTGCAGTGTTTCAACTAGTGGTCTGGCAGGGGGATGAGATCCTCTTAGTACGGACATCTTGCCCATAAAACTATTCATCAAATAGATTGAAACATTTTAAAATCTTTTTCAAATTAAAATTCAGTAACAACCATTTTGGAGCGCCCCCTTCTGAAAGGTCATTATCGAACATAAAAGTGGGACCCTGACATCAGTTCAGATTCTAACAGCATTGAAAAGGATTCTTTGTATAAAATTATTTCTGTAAAAACTCCCCACAAGCAAACATGCAACAACATTCCCACCACGGAAGACCTTCCCCTTCGCTTTCCCCTTTCCCCACCAATCCTTAAGGCTCTGAGGCATGCCCTGACTGGCTTACCATCAGCAGACAGGTGGGCATAACTGGAAAAGGCTTTATCAATTTCTAGAAAGGCCATGGTCAGGACTGTTTCCAAGTCTTTCTCCTGAGGAAGCAGATCCCTTTGGGGAGAGGAAAGAAAGCTGCGATCACTCTGCAGTGGTTTTCTCTTCTCAGGCAGTGCTCCAGCAGCCACTCCACACAACAGGCCTCACGCTTTCCTCTCAGACACTTTCACTGAGGATTCAAGAACTGAGGACCACATATTGGTCTCTGAATGCACTAAGTATCGTGAAGTGTGTCACTGTTGGGCTGGGGCTCATGCCATCATGCTCTGGGTATGTGGTGCTGGAGAGGCAACTCAGAGTTCCCTGTTAGGTAGGACTAACTGAGCTACATTAAACCCGAGGCTTCTTAAAGGCAAAGGCATGAGAATCTAAGTCGGGGGGGGGGGGGGGGGGGGGGGGGGGGGGGGGGGGGGGGGGGGAAAGTGGTTCTGGTGGTCGCCTGTAATACTAAGACTTAGGAGGTGAGGGCAGGAGGATCAGGAGTTTAAGGTCATCCTTAAATCAGTTCTAGTCCAGCCTGGGATGTGGCACTCTACCTCGGAAAAACAAACAAGGCTGTTTGAAGATGTAGTTTAAGTGGCTGGGTCTTTGTCTCAATTGGAAAAAAAGAAAAGAGCTTCAGGTCCCTACCTTCTGAGCCATCTCACCATCCCCAAGTCTTTTCCTGTTCTTAAAGAATTCTTAGTAGTGCAACCCTGATTGACTTAAATCACTCAGTTTGTAGAATGAGGTAAATCATGCAAACTGACAAACTACCTCTAACTATACATTGGAAGGTAAAACGGTAGCCCATGGCTATGACTGCCACACTGTCTCCTCTCTTTCATTCTAGAAGCGGTGTGACTCTCAAAAACATAATGAGTGTTTTGGGTGAGAACGGCTCCCACGGGCTCATTTATTTGACTGCTTGGTCCCCAGTTGGTGGAACTGTTTTTTTTTTTTTTTTGGAAAGGATTAAGAGGTTTTAAAACCCCACACCATTCCGAGTTAGCCAGCGCGCGCTCTCTCCCCCTCTCTTCCCGTTTGTAGATAAGGTTATCATGTCTCAGCTGTTGCTGGCTGTTGAAAGGCTGCCTGCCATCATGGTCATGGACTCTAATTTCCTGAAACTGTAAGCAAGTTCCCAATAAACTTTCTTTTATAAGTTGCTTGGTCACTATGTGTCTTCACAGAAAAGTAACTAAGACAATAAGTAAACTCTGTGCCAACAAGAGTAAATACTTCTTCAGAAACACAAAAGTATAGCTCCATGGGTAAAGTGTTTGCTGTACAGACATGAAGACCTGTGTTCAAATCCCTACCTCCCATCTAAAGGCAACATGTGCGGCTTTACATAGAAGCCTAGGGGCTCATGGGCCAGCCAGTCTAGCTAAAAAAAAGTGTGAGCCCCAGGTTCAGCATGAGACTCAATCTCAAAATTAGGGAACGATATAGAAAGACACTGATGGCCTCCACACACAGATGGGTGCACATACACACACACACACGCACACGCACATGCCCTCCACGCACAAATTACCACAAACACAGGTGAGCACACACGTGAGTAAAATTTCTCACAAGTTATCTTTGTCCTTTATAATTTACTGGAAATGGTAATCTAGAGGCGCAGATTCTCAACTGCGTTTCTCAAATGGCGAACAGGTACATAGGCCACGCTGACTACTGCACACACTGATGCGGTGGCACGTGTGCACTCGAGGAATTCAGTCTGCGCTGGCTATCTCAGCCACAGGGAGAATATTTCAACAGCCTAGAGCAACTGCAACACCAAGGTCGTCATACATACATCACACATTTTTCCATGTGCGTGTGACAGAAGTCAGCAGCTGCCGGTCCCCCGTGCCCGTCGTATACTGCAAAGTACAGCACCTCCTCTGTCAGCTGTGCGAACCCAAACCGATCTTCATTTTCTTTCCGTTTGCCAATGAGGGAGGCACTGCCCACGTTCTCCAGGCTAATTTTGGGGATTGGCTTGCCATACTTGATGCTAGGCGGCAGCAGAATTGGCTCATCGATGCGGTTATCCCAGATCCCAAAATTGTCCCAAGTGGCTGGCTGCCCGCTTCCATCGGGGTCAAATCGAGAACACCTGGGCTCGGTGGTGGAGCTGTAGCAGGCAGGAGTCACCTGCCTGTTGTCCTGCAGGAAGACGGAGCTTAGCAACACTCTCTTCTTCACCTGGTTCCCGCCGCTTCTGGCCAAGGTAATTAAGGCCGCCGATAGCATACTGCAATGCCAAAGGCCTCAGTCACAGGGAAAGACAGAGCAATAGCAGAATTCCTTGAAGAAAATTGATGCACCTAGGGGTGGGGGCAAAGACAAGGTCATAGTCAATAATCCAAAACACTGCTAATACATCATCAGATGCCAGAAACGAAAGCCATAAAGAGTCTGACATTGTGTATGCGCCGTGCGTGCACGTGCAGGCATGTATGTGTACGGACTCTACATTCTATTCTTGAGAATGCTGAATCAAATAATTTACCTACCCCCTTCAAGTGTTTGAATTCTATAACAGTTGATAATATGCATATACAAACAACACATGTATCTCCGATTTAATCTGCTAACACTTTGGGGCCTTGCCAAAATGATCATGTTGATTCGGCTGGCATGCATTCAGGCCACACTCTGGAAGTAGAGATCCTTTCCTCGCAAACTCAGCTGTTCTGAAGACAAGATACTGTAATTGTCAACAAAAACAACTGCCTCTCCTAAGGACGGAAGTAGGGAAAAACAGTGGTTGCTAGAATATTTATAATAATTCTATACTCAAAGAGTAGCCAAGTTTAACAAAGACACAATTTGGGATCAGGGTTTTTTTTTTTTACTTTTAAATATTTTTATTCATTCTTTAAGAATTTCATACAGTGTATTTTTGTCATATTCACCTAACTCTTCCTACCAATGCCTCCAAGGTCCACCCTACGTCCCAGCCCCATACTTGGGTGGCCCATCAACTTCAATGTACTCCTGGGTGTTGGTCCACCGGGTAGGGGCACAGTTGACCTACCGGGAGCCAGTCTCTTAAACTGACTCTTCCTCCCCCAGAGGCCATCTGTTGTCCAGAGTTCCTCAGTTGGGGGCTGATGCACCCCTTCCCACTCCATGCTGGAAAAAGGTATTATATTATTCTCAAGCATACAAACCAGGATTGTGTCTGTAGTGCTAGCTACCAAGGACAATGAAGTCAGAAGAATCATTTCCATTCAGTTCAGATCAGTCTAGAAGACACAGTGGAACACTGTTTCAAACAAACAGTTGAAATTTATTTCATAATAAAAAAATGAGTTAAAAAATCTATCTTTTCAGGGCCTGTGGATATGATAGTATCAATTAATCTCGCCAAAATGCATCAACATTCACAAAAAAAGCCAGCTGGAGTTCATATATGCAGAAATGCATCGCAAATTTTATTTTATTTATTCTTAAACGTACGTACTATGCATGCAGTGTTTTGTCGCATATATGCCTGCAGGCCAGAAGAGGGCACCAGATCTCATTACAGATGGTTGTAAGCCGCCATGTGGTTGCTGAGAATTGAACTCAGGACCTCTGGAATGTTCTTAATCTTGAGCCATCTCTCCAGCCCACACTACAAACTTTAAACGATAACTTTCAGGTGAATTTTTGTGAATTAACTTTAGCTAAGGGTGGGAAGGGCCGTTATCCTGGTCAGCAGTCGAAGAAAGATGCAATACAAAAAAATTCCCTTAGAAATCCCGATGAGGATAAGAGATAGGTGGGAGGAGGGGGAAGGGAGAGGGATAACTAACACTAAGGATGTTTGAAAAAGTCATACAAACTGCCTAATACATATATATAAATATCCTCTGGGAGTCAGGGGAGAGGGAGAGAGAAATTATACACAGGAGATGCTGATGCTTCTGGAAGCCATATGTAGCCAAATAAACGTTCGTGGCTGGTGTAGGATACCCCCCCCCCCCAGCCCTCAGCTGTCTGTCAGGGGTGTACCAGAAACTCTTTACACAATACAGGCTGCTGTGATTGCTCTTGGTTGCCCACTAGAACTATACGGTAAGACCCCATTGCTGAATCCACCCACCACACACTTTGTCCACAGAGACGGCCTTGTAAAGTCCCATCTCTATACCCAGAGATGAGTGCCGTTCTCAGACCTCATTGATGTTACTTTGTGTGTGGACAGAGACTGATGCAGAAACTCACAACCGATCAAAGCGCCACTCAGACAACAGTGGGACATTATACTACACCTCTCCCCTCAAGGACCATCCAAGAAGATGGAGCAGAAAGATTCTAAGAGCCAGCCGCTAGGGAGGAGTGGCAGGAAACAGTGTCTTCTAAACTTGACACCATTGCTGCACTCTTGAACTCACAACAGCTGTGGTTGCTCGCACAAGACCAAACCAGTCACCATTCTAGGATGGAAGGGCTGATGGGAACTCCCCCAACTCACCCCTGAGGTGCTATGGACAGCTGGTGGATTCTGGGAGAAGGAGAGCCAGTTTTTCTTTACAGGTGTAGCAGCTGGTCTGTTGACTATGCTCAGGAAGGCCCCACATCCGTGAGTTGATGGATGATATAAACTGGAAACAATGGTCAAGGGGGAAAAATGACATAAAGGCAAAAGTGGGGACTGGGAAGTAGATTTTAGAAAAGTTAGGAGGAAGAGTGTGTGTGTGGGAGGAGGGGTTGAGTATGATCAAAATACACTGTATGCAATTCTTTTTTTTTAAAGTAATAAAAATATTTTGACCAAATTTTGAGATACACAGAAAAGTGGCAGCCCGCATTCTGGGTGTATCTGTGAGGATGTCTTCAGAGACCGTGAGAAACGAGTTAGTGCTCGGTCAGCAAATGTCATCCTAAGTATGGTTGACATCATCTAATAAGCTAGGCCCTCTTCTTAAGGGCATGTTTTTCCTCCTGATCCAGGGAACACCAGACCCCAGCTTCTTCAGCCTTTGAATGGAGATTCACACTAGCGATTCTCCAGGGTGCTTACAGACCTTCAACCTCACACTGGACTCATAAAACTTTCAAGTCACACTTCGGCGGCCCATTAGCTCCCGATAGAACAACTTACTTGGAAGATCCAGGCAGCCCTGACTCTGCTCTCTGGCTCCCTGCACAGGAGTGTACTTGTCCCCTCGCAATGCCCTCCTGATGTTAAGGTGCTACCCGCCATGGAGTCCTCATCAGAGCGCCTCCAGCACCATGTCCTTCAAGACCCAGAGCAACCTGAACTAAAGTCACCCAAACAAACTTATTCTGGTTTTACTCATTTTTCACACCTATTGGTTTATCCACTTATACACAGGCATGGAGTGCAAGTTCCTTGGTGCATACGAGGAGGTCAGAGAAATACTTGAAGGGAGCTGGCTCTCCCCTTCCGCCATGTAGCCTCCAGGGACAGAACACCAGTCTTGGCAGCAAGCACCTTTTATCCTCTGAGCCACCTCACTGGCCCAGAACAAATGTTTTATATCATTTCCCCGAGTCACAGGTTTCAATAAAAATATGTGTTATAGGTGACAGCAAAGAGAAATGTCAAACTATCATAATGTGGCATTATTAGAATTATTAATCACTGATGGATGTGATTGGCACAGCAGTAATTATTCCTTCTAACAGATGAAGCAATATGTGTGAACAATAAAAAAATAAGTTTGTTTAGGTGACTTTAGCTCGTGCACACTTCCTTAGCAGGCATACACCCATCTTAAAGTAACAGGACAGCAGACAAACGACTGAAATAGCTCTTCTAGAATTCTCTGGCCCTCCTCTTACGCTTCTCTCTAACCCTCAAAAAAAAAAAAAAAAATCAAATGATAAACACAACTGCTTTCTCATCAGAGAAGAAATGCTCACAAGCTATATTAGTGAATGATAAAATTAAAGTACAAGCGGACAGTTCCTTTGAGCCTATATAAACTAACAGTTATCATCAGTTTGACCTTCTCTCATATTATCAACACTGTCACTTCAGAAAGTTAGCAGAGCAGTTATAGAGGAACACTTGCTGGAGAGCATTCTGCTGGCTGAGAGTCAGTGTGGGCAGCTCCGGAACTAGGTCAGCACCACCTAGACAAACAGATTTAAGTGGTTCCATCTCCTTTGCCAACCACACCAAAACTAAACCACACAGATCCCTTTTAGAGCCTCAGGAAAACTATTCAAAGACAACCTGTGTTTCTAAGCTACACAACTCTCAAACCCCCACACAACCCAGAAGTCTAACTTAACGGTGGAGCCAGGTCTTAGCTTGCTTAAGACCCTCAATTCAAAACCTAAGCAGCCCCCAAACAAAGATAAAAACAGCAAGAGAAAAGCAAACACCCTCACCCCAAACCAAACAAATCTCTGTACATAAAGAAAGACACCCCCTGTTTCAAGTTTGGAAAAAACAAAAAAAAAAACCATAACATTCCTCCCTTCCCATCAGACCAAGAGATCTTGGAACAGGTGCAGAAATGACCATGAACAGACAGCAGATGGGGGGGGGGGGTAGAAGTGTGAAAGACAGCAAACACTTAAACAACAGCAATAAACAAAACAAAAAGCTGTGCCCTTAAACAGAATGGAAAACAGCCTGACAAATGCTCAAGCATTGGCTTTGTCAGACCAGCAAGCAGCAGTGGGCTGGGATAAGCTTATCAGTTGTCCACTAAAAAGCAGTTACTTAGCTAGTTGTTACTAATCAGGGAGAGTTACGTAAATCCGCGGATTAGAAATCTAAGCTAACCAATATTAGTAAGCCATTTAAACAATTATATTTAATCTTTCAAAGTGAAATCACCCTTTTACTGTTTTTACTACACAAAAATGTCCCAGAAAAGTAAAAGGAACGCAGAGTATATACACATACGCATATGATAGTCTACTAACAGTAAGGTAACTTTGAACTGTGGTAAGGAAGAAAATAAAGATAAATAATATGTTTGGAATCCTAGATACACAACATAACAATCTCAAATATATTGGTAATTGTACATAAAAGGGGAAAAAAGAATGCTTGCCTGAACTATTTCAAATTCTTTATTTCCCAATCAAAACACAAATGGAGTATCACAATTTAATCAACGTTGGTCTTTAAAATTGTATGTGTGCATGCACACAATTAAAAATACCTTATGTATTCTATCTATTATAAACGTCTGAAAACATGCCTTTCCACCATTTCCACAATGAGTTCTGTGACTAAGTCAGTCTCCCTACCTTCTTCCTCTACCTGATACTTAAAAGTGACCAGAAAGGAAAGAAAGAAGTCAATGTTAGAACGAAGTTGTCCCCATGTAAGTAACTCCATCTAGCAGGAATCTCAGCCAGAGGCTAAGGAAGCTGTGAGATGTCCTCGGCACAGTCGCTTCAAGACAGCACTGCTGAAACTCACTTCTGCGGAGCAGCAATCCCTGGCCAAAGACATCAGAAAGGAGCTTTGTGGGGTGGTCGACCCCCTAGAATCTCACCACTTAGGGTGTGGAGGCAAGAAGACCAGGGGTTAAAGGCCAGCCTGGGCTACTTGAGACTGGGCTACTTGAGATCCTGTCCCAACAACAAAAACATCAGGATTGAAAAATGCATCTGCCTCATCAACCTTTGAAACCACCCTTTGAATTTACAGCGCAAGCACCCACATACACAGCTGCAAGACGACTGCACCGATTTTACTCTTCATATTTCTCCCGTGTGATGCTTGTCCAGCAGTCTAACTCCCAGAGCTGTTCCATTGTATTTCTGGAAAAAGGAGGCACTGTCTCTATAGCAGGTTTTGGCACGGGGAATTTGAGTTCAACTGCTGATGAATGCCCAAAACAGTTCAAAAGGGAAAGTTCCTGCTACCACTTTAAGCAAGCCCAGGCAGAATCGGGAGTTCTGGCAAGCAGCATTACTGATATGGCTTAGATTTTCCTCTCTCCAGGAACCCTGTGCAGTAACTAACTGCATAGTGGCACTGTGCTAACTTATCATAATGGGAAACACAAGGTAATTTTAATATTTTTTCGTTGTATTTGTTTATTGTATGTGCCAGTGCAAGCCGGCAAAGGTCAAAGGACGCCTTGGAGGTGCACCTTCTGTTGCTATCTGTAGATCCTGGTGGCAGAACTCAAGCAGCAGGCTTGGCACCAGGCAACTTCACCGGCCAAGTCCAAGGGACATCACCAGCCGATTTTTAATATTCTTAAACTCCAAATGTCTTTACCATCATCACCAATGAAAACCCAATGCACCCCAATAAACAACTAAAATCATCTGAAAAATCTCTGAAATGTATTTTTAGCAAATCTGCACTCAATGTCCTTACCTCCTTTTAGGAGGAAAGAAAATGTATTCTCTTACAGGAGCAAAGAAAACAACAAAACCCCCAGTGAGCTCCAGGCGTCTGTTTAGACTTGTGAACTGAGACTAGTAATGAAAAGTACTTACTACTCGATTCTGTGAAAGGGGTGCTGACGTTGTCAAGGAAAAAGAGAATCAGATCGCAAGGAAAACAGCTATGAATAAGAACTCATTATCCAAAGCTTCCGTATTCAATGACATTTGTCATGCAGTGGTGATCTGGTCTCCAGTTTCTACACTCTCTCTAGCAGGGCAACGCCTTCCCTTCCGCGCAGCCCTGCAGATCTCGGGCGGCCCCCACTGTTTTCTCCCTGGGGTTCAGGTTCAGCAGAGGGCACATCTGCTTTTCCCACCTGGGGCACCTGGGGTGAGGCTGGGGGCTTTTGCTGTTACTATTTCTCTGACTCCTACCAAAAAACATCAGCGGCGCTTTTGAGACTCGAAATCGTCTAGCTGCTTCTACCCACAGCCTCATCTTTGTCTCCTCCGGGTGAATGTGCTCATCTACAGAAACAGGCACCAGGAGCCACTTGGCCTTAAGACACGGTGCTTTCCCGGCAAAGCAAAACCCAAGCCCTCAGATCCGAGCCACCAGGGCTCCGCAATCCTTCTCTACACCCACCTCCTTACAAACCCTACAGGACAGCGACCTGAGTTCGTTTTCTGACCTTGGCCGAATCGGGACGCGGCAGGACTCCGGCCAGCGCAGCCCAGCAGACCTCCCGGCACCCCGGAGTCTTCATTCCGGGAAACAGGTCCCGCAGTGGCCACGCCTGCTCCCTCGGGCTGGAGCGCACCTGGGGGGCCTCGCTGCAGGGAATCTGGGGCGGCTTCGGCTTTCCCCACTTTCTCTACCCCTCCCTCCGACTGTGCCCACCCTACAAGCCCCGCTCCCACAACGGACACTTCCCGCTTGAGGTCAAGTTCAAGGCCGATTGCAGCAACCGAAGAGCCGGATGCCCGGGTGCAGCCTCGGTGGGCCTCGGCGGGAACAACTGCACACCACCCGGCACACAGAGGCACTCAAACCAAGGCCGAGGAAGCTGCGGTAACCCATCCCATATTTCTCCGCCTTCCTGAGGAACACTCCATTCCAAAGACCGCCAAGAGATTCCCGTCAACAGCCTAGGGGAATGAGCGAATTGAACTATTCAAGCGCTTACCTTGTGATGGTTGTGTCTGTAAATTTCTTGACTAGCTAATGGAAGTAAAGAGAAGGCTGATAAATAAGTCTGACTTCTCTTGTTGATGCGAATCTCCAGAGCTAGCAATTAGGGAGGCCACAATCTCCTCTCTGGAAATGCTCGAACATTTTTTCAGCCGCTGGCCAAATGGAGACCGGGAGGAGTCTGCTCCCGATGATTGACAACAACTCCGACCAGCTGATGCTCGGCAAGTCTCGGTGCCTGCCCTCAATCTCAGCCAATCATAGATCTAGATGGGATCGAGCCTCCTGCACGGGTAATTTGACCTCTCTGATTGCCAACTGAGTGTAGCAGAGCGACGGCAAATTGGACCAGTAGCTGCTCGACATGGCGCCCCGCCCTCCCGAGGTGGCTTGGATCAGAGGTGCCCGGGAGTGTTGGTTGCTTAGGCCAGAGATAACTTGGCTATGACCCAAGAAATCGAGAACAGAACAGCCACGCTTTGGCTTGTGTATAGCGCTTGTACATCTTCCAGTTTTCTTGCAAGTTCTTTGACAAATCACAGAGCACTGTTCTTCGGGCTGCACTAACAGACATTTTGGGATGGCTTGAAACTGTCCTGCCTGCCATAAGGATTTTCATCTTTGTGAAAGAAGCATTGCCTAGGATCTGGAGGTCTTAACTGATTCGGATAGTCAGATAACTGCTCTTAGAATCTTCGGCCAAGTACCGAAGTGGAAGCAAGCCAACAAATAAACAAACGAGTAAAAACTAAATCATGTCAAGAGAGGGAACAGCTGAGGTGTGGAACGAGAACACTGGGGAGCAGATTTTTACACAGGGCACGGAGTTCCACTGAACTAAGGCTGTAACGCCACATTCTAGGGCAAGTCACAGACACAGGAATATTGGCCAATACAAAACAGACTCCCTGTTTTCTTGTGTACACGTTTTGTTTTGATATTTTTAGTCTTAATTGGGTTCTTTTTGGGTTTTTTTTTGGGGGGGGGAGCTCATGAAGTTGGGTGGGTAAGGGAGTGGGGAGGATCTGAAAGGAACTGTAGGAGGGGAAAGAATATGCTCAAAATACACTGTATAATAAAAGTTTTATTTCTAGCCATAAATAAAGGACACTGAGCCTACAATTCGGGTTCTTAGAGAAGCTAAAGAAGAAGGAGAACCCAAAGAAAAACATATAGGCATCCTCCTGAATATTAACCTTCATCAGGCGATGAAAGGAGACAGAGACAGAGACCCACATTGGAGCACCGGACTGAAATCTCAAGGTCCAAATCAGGAGCAGAAGGAGAGCGAACATGAGCAAGGAACTCAGGACCGCGAGGGGTGCACCCACACACTGAGACAATGGAGATGCTCTATCGGGAACTCACCAAGGCCAGCTGACCTGGGTCTGAAAAAGCCTGGGTTAAAACCGGTCTCACTGAACATAGCGGACAATGAGGACTACTGAGACATCAAGAACAGTGGCAATGGGTCTTTGATCCTACTGCATGTAGTGGCTTTGTGGGAGCCTAGGCAGTTTGGATACTCACCTTACGAGACCTGGATGGAGGAGGGTTTTCCTCGGACTTCCCACGGGACAGAGAGCCCTGATTGCTCTTTGGGCTGAAGAGGGAGGGGGAACGTATTGGGGGAGGGGGAGGGAAAGGGGAGGCGGAGGTGGGGAAGAGACTGAAATATTTAATAAAGAAAGAAAGAAAGAAAAAAAAAGAATTAAAAGGACATACAGATCGGAAAAAAAAATAAAAGTTTTAATTAAGATATTATTAAAATTAATGATTAAGTTGTGTTGCCTAGTTGTACCTCCTGGTCCAAGAGCATCTGGAGATCGGGTACATTTAACATTGGTCTATGTAGACTCACAAACTCTAATCATGACTTGAGGATTATGTTGGGGAGAGAGTCAATTTTCATAAAGCTATTGAAATTGGTAGTGGATCTAGCGTACATACAGAAAAGATGCAGATTGACTGTGGCTTGGGGATCCTCACAATGTGCAGCCTGTCTTTGTATCTAGCACCAGATCAAAACACGATGTAATTAACACTTAGGAGCCCTTCATCCTGCCAAGCAGCTGCTGCTTTCTTCCAGAAGCAACCTCTATGCTGTCTTCTAACATAGTAGATTAATTTTGTTTATACACTTAATATGTAGAATCAAACCATAACCTATGCATTCTCCTTTTGTTTGACTGCTCTGGTTCAACAGTTTACTTGTAAGATTCTTTCATGTTGCTGTACAGTTTCAGATCTTCGTATTTTTCAGCTTTATCATAATTGATGCATTTGTTTTTATGATGGGGTCCAGCCCCGTGTGATGTTGAAGTAGTTTTCAGTTCGGAGCTATTATAGTTAGTGCCTATGGTGCACAGGGCCTTGAGTTCCATCCCTGGTACCAGAAAGCGGGCTGGAGATGGCTCAGCACTTAAGAGCACATACGACTCTTCCGGAACACCCTGGTTTGATTCCCAGTACCTATATGTTTTTGTGGGGTAGTTATGATCTGTAACTCCAGGGGATCCAATGCCTCTGGCTCCCAAGGGCACCAGTTCATGTGCACACACCTTCACACAGTCCACGCCCATAGACACAATTAAAAATAACAAAATCAACCTTTTTTTAAAAACAGAAAGAAAAGTAATATCATTTGTATTTGTGACTGTGGAAACTGGGGGAAGAGACGGAGAAAGTGACCTGAGACGGTTTGCGAGTGGTCAAACTGGCACTTAAACAGGCAAGGTCTCCTCATAGCCATGTTTTCAACTGCTGTATCACATACTCTCTTATAAGAGGCAAGTGGGGTGACCCTGAACTCACACTCAGTGTGCAGTGCTCCCCAGTGCCCTTCTCCGTGGAGCATCCTTGACATGCTCCCTACAGTGCTGCCGAAGCATCATCTCATTCTGAAGCCTTGACACACGTGGCTTTTCTTTTAGAGATTCTCTGGTGATTGTTGTCTGTCCTGTTTTGGGAGCTGATGATTGTGCACTGTGTGCACAGGTATAAAGTTGGCCTTTATCAATCTGTGGTCGCAGCAGACCTTTTTATCTCTTGGGAACTGTTTTTTTTTTTTTTTTTTTTTTTTTTTTTTTTTTTTTTTTTT